TCAATTATGCTCTCCAAATCAATTTTAATAATAGTCAATCATTAGAAAACACTAAGAATAATAATATATAATCTACATAAAATAACAAACCATGAAAGTATAAAAATTATGAAATTTTATATAAAATTAATGAGGTATATTGTAACCTTAGATAATTAAATTAGTTTATAATTAAGAGAAAAAAAATAAAAAACATCATAATAAATTTTAGAGTATTCAACGTCATAAAATAAAATTTAAAAACAAATAAAATTAATTTAATAATATAAAATCTCAAAGTCTTAAACTTTTTTTTTCTTATTGTTGAACTCCTTTTAACTGTCTCTCTTGGTTTCCTTCAAGTGCCTTAAATTTAATTTTTAGATGGATATTTATAGAGTCTATTAAGATACCCTATTTTAAGTAGTACTTGAGACAAAAGAGGAAGGCTAAATGCCGGACGTACTTAACGCATGGTGCTAACACCATGAATTACATATCGACACTGCACCCTGTCGGGTTTCTTGTCTTTCTAGCAATTTTTTCAATAGTAAAATTGCAAATCTGGTCCTCCATATTTTATACAATGAGCATTTTGATTCTATACCTTAAGATTCATTCATTTAGGTCCCAAACAGCACCTTTCTTCTCGCAATTCGATCCCTCAACTTTCAAAAGATATTCAATTAATCTCAAAATCGCCTATTATTATACATTCAGGTCCTTTTCTGCAAAAAATAAAAATAAAAACTACATAAAATTGATTGAAAATCACATATAATCCTTATAAATAATAATAAAATCAAGATTAATATAATAGATTAAAATATATAAAATGCTTCTCATCAATTTTCTTGGATTTCACTGCTAAGAATAATTAATAATTCATGCTATATTTATATAAAAGCAAAAAATTCATGCTACATCATGCAAATGGTACTCGGTCTTGGTTGGGCACATTTTTTTAATACATATGCGCATCCATTATTACTCGATGTATTTGGAGCTCCACCATCGTGTTGCTGTGGTGTAGTGGTTATCACGTCAGTCTTACACACTGAAGGTCCCCAGTTCGATCCTGGGCAGCAACACATATCCAAACAAGCCTTCCTAGGTGGGCTTCGCGAACAAACAAAGATTTTTTGAATAGAAAAGCCCAAATCACAATTGTCAAACTGGGCCCAAAGTGGAGCAACAGAAAAGCCCATCAGCAACGCGACCACTAGTTGGTTTAATCGCGCCAACAAACACATTATCCCGTTCTGCTCTCCGTCTCCCATTCTCTTCATTTTCCTCAAACCTTAATTCATGCTGGGAAGATGGAAGTGAACAGCATCCAAATCCAACCATTTTCCCACGTTTCTTGTCCTGACAATCATGGGTTTCCTTTTTCCTTTCACAATCTTCCATATCCAAGGAGATTCACCACTGCTACTGTCAAAAAGCAAGCATCTTTTGTTCCTGAGGTGTGTAAAAGATACAGCCTCCTTTTGGGGCCTGGTAGTTTGGGTTTCCTTAGAAGTAGAAGTACAATTAGGTGCTCGGTGAGGGAAGTAGAAGAGGAGCAGAAGCAGCAAGTGGTGGTGAAGAGGGCATACCCGTTTCATGAAATTGAGCCCAAATGGCAGCGTTATTGGGAGGAGAATCGCACTTTTCGTACCCCAGATGACATTGACACCTCTAAACCCAAGTTCTACGTCCTTGACATGTTCCCTTATCCCAGGTGTTGTCCTATTTGTCTGCTTTATTTATTTTATTATTATTTTTTTTTTGGGGAGAGGGGGTGTGCTCTCAATGCATACAAAAGATGCACACTTAAGCTTTACTCAGTACCATGCTTTATTTGTGAAATTTAGTGATTAATTTTTATGTTAGAACTTCCTTTGGGATAACTATGTTAAGTTTTAGTGACTGGGCGCTTCTAGGAATGTGGAAAAGTCCAGTGTTTTGGTGGTTTCATTTATTTTGAATTTTGAATGGCTTTGATGGAATGATGCAGTGGAGCTGGGTTGCATGTTGGGCATCCACTGGGGTATACTGCCACTGATATCCTTGCGAGGTTGAAACGCATGCAGGGTTACAATGTCTTGCATCCTATGGGTTGGGATGCTTTTGGACTGCCTGCTGAGCAGTATGCAATCGAGGTTTGTCTTAGAATCATGATATGTGTTTTGCATTATTGTGATTCTCATGGTTTTTGTTCCAATTTACATTTGGTTTCTTGATGTTGCTCACAGACAGGAACTCACCCCAAACTGACAACATTGAGGAACATTAATCGCTTTCGGTCCCAGGTTACTACTTTTTATTTGTTGAAACCAGTGGGCAATTTTTGTGAAGATTTCATGTCTGTTGGTTTGGATCATTTGTAACGTACTCAAGCATTCATATCTCATTTGCTTTGCAGCTTAAATCATTGGGTTTCTCATATGACTGGGATCGGGAAATATCTACCGCTGAACCAGACTACTATAAATGGACCCAATGGATCTTTCTTCAACTATTAAAGAGGGGGTTGGCCTATCAGGTCAGATATTGGACAAGCTCTGGATTTATTTTTTGTTCCCATTCTTATTCGAAATAAATGCTAATGGTTAGACCAATTATCAACTTAGGCTGAAGTGCCAGTCAATTGGTGCCCAGCTCTTGGTACTGTCTTGGCAAATGAGGAGGTTGTGGATGGTGTGAGTGAGCGGGGAGGTCATCCTGTTATAAGAAAGGTAATATTCTTTGATCGTTTTTCATGTTGGGTCATTTAGGTGTCCTACTTTAAGTATTTGTCCTATTTCCAAAATTTTGAATGGTTGTTAATTTTTCAGTGTCATTGCTTATTACCAAGCAGCCAATGTGGCAATGGATGCTGAAAATTACTGCTTATGCTGATCGCCTTCTTGAAGATTTAGATGAGCTTGACTGGCCTGAAAGCATAAAGGAAATGCAAAGAAACTGGATAGGGAGGTCTGAGGGGGCCGAGATGGACTTTTGTGTTATTGACAGTGATGGAAGGGAAATGGACTTAAAAATTACGGTTTATACTACCAGGCCTGATACAATCTTTGGAGCAACGTGAGTACTTCTCTTAAACTGTATCCTTATCTTCCTCTTTTTGTATGTTCTTTGATTTGATGCTTCATGAATTAGTTATGCCTAGATAGAATATACTTCTTTTAAACTCTGCCCTTATCAGTTGTTTGTATGCAGCTATTTAGTTATGGCACCAGAGCATTTCTTGCTGTCATCCTTCACATCCACAGAACATAGAAAATATGTATGGTCATTTTCTTTTTCTTAACCATTTCTTTCTTGAGGTTTATTAAGCGTGAATAACTAGAGAAACAAATCTTGAGCACAGGTAGAGGAGTACAAAGACCTAGCCTCGAGAAAGAGTGATCTTGAGAGAACTGAGCTTCAGAAGGAAAAAACCGGAGTCTTTAGTGGTTGTTATGCAAGAAATCCAGCAAGTGGAGAATCAATCCCAATATGGGTTGCAGATTATGTCTTGGGGAGGTGTGTTTTTGATTTCTTCATTTCTGGCTTACTTTACAACCGATATTTGTTGGCAGATGCATTGTACTTTAGTTCAGTTTCCCCAGGTGTTTGTATGGTCTAGAATGTGGAATATGTTGGTTACTTGACGTTTATGCAATTCAGTGTGACAAACTGTTAGTAATTATTTGGAGAGTTTTATCAATGTGAAAGACATTCATAAAACTTAGTTATTTGATCAGTTATGGAACAGGAGCAATTATGGCTGTACCAGCACATGATACTCGTGACTATGAGTTTGCATTGAAGTATAACATTCCAATCAAGTGGGTTGTGAAACCAGATGACAAAAGTTGCAATGAGTCTGGAATGGCATATTCAGGTGAAGGCATCGTGGAAAATTCATCAAATTCAACAGTGGGACTGGACATAAATGGTGTGTCTAGTAAAGAAGCTGCCTGCAAAGTTATTGAGTGGGCTGAGAAGACTGGAAATGGGAAGAAAAAGGTGCTTTTCTCAGTGTACCAGAAACTTATTCTCAGAAGAATGGAGGTTTTTCTACAACCATTATACATAATTTTGTAATATTCTTTGCTCAAACTTGTTTTTATTAGGTGAATTACAAGTTGAGGGACTGGCTTTTTGCTCGGCAACGATATTGGGGAGAACCTATCCCAGTCATCTTCCTGGATGATAATGGTGAGAGTGCTCCAGTTCTTGAAACTGAACTGCCTCTTACCTTACCTGAATTAGACGATTTTACTCCAACTGGAACAGGGGAACCACCACTATCAAAAGCAGTATCCTGGGTATGTTTTTCTTTATTGCCTTTCTGTATAGCTTCTTGGTAATTGGCACACATGACCAAAGGATTGTCATGACTAAGGCTCATGAAAGCATAAATGCTTGCTTGCTTGCTTTGGATCTGTTGTCATATCCTTTTATCCCTGTTTTATCATATTGCAGAGGCATGCTACTGGTTTCCAACCTAGTTTTCATGTCTTCTTTATGTGTTATTTGGAGACACTCTGACCGTTCTTGTCTTTCATTAGCCTATCTTTTTACTTTTTGACTATTTAGACTCATTTGTTAATATGCTTTCTTGCTGATTTTCAGGTTAAAACCATAGATCCTTTATCTGGGAAGCCTGCTAGACGTGAGACAAGCACTATGCCACAATGGGCCGGTTCTTGCTGGTACTGTATTTCCAGTATTTGGAATTGAATTTCATCAGTCCTTTTTTATTTTATTTTATTTTATTTATTTCTTTTGGAAAGTGAAAGATAATTTAAAGGGAAGAATGCAGGAGATAACGAAAAAGAGAAACTTGTTTTGGAACATTGGGGTATTCTAAAAGTTAGTGAGAAAGATAGCCAATATACCTTGTGGATTGATAGCATTCACCTGTGGTTATTTTTAAGACAAGTTTGGCCATGTTGATTTGTCTCATTGTTTCCTCTTTGTACATCTTTGTTTAGGTACTATTTGAGATTCATGGACCCCAAAAATCCCAAAGAGTTGGTCGACAAGGAAAAAGAAGTGTAAGAGAAGCTTTTACTACAAATCCTTTAAATTTGTAATTATTTATATATTTTTATTTTGAGAAGATATTCAAGCTTTAAATGCAAACATTTCTGGAAGCTTAAATGCAACTGTTTTTCTGAAAGCTTCTTGATTTTATTTCTTAGGTTTCTGCCAACATTTCATTGCTTGCAGGTATTGGAGCCCAGTTGATGTATATGTTGGTGGTGCTGAGCATGCTGTTCTCCACTTACTTTACTCTAGGTTCTGGCACAAGGTTAGTAACTCAAATCTTTACCTGGTTGTGATTTTTTTGACATATAGGGTATCAACATCTTGGAAAACAAATGGCATTATTTTTGTATTCCCCTTTACTTCCTTGGATAGAAAATGTTTTTGCCTCCCTTCTTGAGAGACAGATGCAGAATTGCTATTTGTTCTGTTTGTCATCCAAGCATTAATATTTTTAGAGCCCAAAACTTAAGTCTTAGGTAATCATGCGGCCCACAAACTAAAGATGAGTTGTCTAGTTCTGTTTTCTATATATTGCTGGTACTCCTTTGTTTTACTCTATTATAACAGGTTCTTTCCCTTCTTAAAAGACGCATGATTGCCTTTTGCTATGTTTGCAACATATATGCTCATTAATGTTTCTAGAGCCCAAATTTTAAGAACAAGTTTTCTAAATTAACATCCACAAATCTAGTATAATGATGTGGCCCACAAAGTAAGGATGAGTTGTCCAGTTCTGTTTTCTATATATTGCTAATTGCTGGTACTCCTTCATTTGATTCTGTTATGTCAGGTTCTTTATGATATTGGTGTTGTGTCGACCAAAGAGCCCTTCAAGTGTGTCATCAACCAGGGAATTATTCTTGGGGAAGTAAGTTTACTCTCTTGTGCAGAGTTAAGTAACATTCTCATTCCATGTGGTCCTCACGGTTTTAGCGACAGGTTCAATATATGGCCTGCAAAGATGCAGATGGAAACTATATATCTGCAGACTCTTCTTATATGTTGGGTGAATCCCTTCAAGAAACAATTCCTGAGGAAAAAGTATGTTCTTCAATGTATTCCAATCTGTTTTTTTTTTCATATTGGTAGAATGGTAGGTAACCTAGGGCTATCAAGCCTAGCATATAATCTTATTAATTTTAACGAATTTTTCCTTAGGTTATGAAGTCTGGGGAGTCTTTTGTACTGAGAGACAATCCAAACATTCGTTTGATTGCTCGTGCTCATAAAATGAGCAAAAGTAGGGGAAATGTTGTCAACCCTGATGATGTTGTTTCTGAGTACGGTGCAGATTCTCTCCGCTTATATGAAATGTTCATGGGGCCATTTAGGTATGCTTTCCTCATTCTGTCAGGCTGTTTTTTTGATCTAGCACTAGCATAGAGACTCAAAGCAATAAAAATATCTTCATCCTCAAACAATGGTGTTATTGTATTATGCTTCTAGAGACTCAAAAACGTGGAATACTAGTGGGATTGAAGGCGTCCATCGATTTTTGGGAAGAACTTGGAGGCTTATTGTTGGCTCACCTTTACCTGATGGTAAATTCAAAGGTGGAACTGTGGTTACTGATGAGAAACCTACTGTGGAACAACTTCGTGCTCTCCATAAGTGCATAGCTAAGGTTACCATTTCTAACCTGCAAATAGTTTTCTTTAATTGAACACCACCCTTTACTTTCAGTCATTCTGCCATTTAGAATTAAAAATCAATTCTAATCTACCTCTCAAGGATTTTAGTTTGATGTGTCCAATAAATATACCCCATACATTTAGAAGTGCACAAACAGCATAAATATTGAAACCTATCATTTCCATTTGAATTCTCTAAACAGTAAGTTGACTCCTGTTCACAGGTGAGTGAGGAAATTGAAGGAACACGGTTCAACACTGGAATTTCTGCAATGATGGAGTTCATTAATGCAGCTTATAAGGTTTCTCCTTGTAATTGTATACTGTTAGATAAATGATGTTTGAGGGCTTGGAAAATGCTTGTTCTTCCTCTCTTCCGTCTCACCATTTTTTCATCTTTCCTTTGCTACTTCTTCTTGCTCATTCAAGATCTCATTAGCTGTTTGGATTTTGTATCTTCAGTGGGATAAACATCCGAGGTCAGTTATTGAAGCCTTTGTCTTGTTGCTGTCACCATATGCACCCCACATGGCTGAGGAGCTCTGGCTTCGACTGGGACATACTGAATCATTAGCATATGTGCCCTTTCCTAAGGTAGAATTTTCATTTTATTTTAATTTTCAAAGTTAAGCACCCTTACGCAAGGCTATGATTACAATGTGTGACAAAAAAGATGAACATTTGGTTCTTATTATTAAGCTGATACGCAGAAAAATGCTAGCATACACATTGCACAATATAAGATGTACACGACGTAGTGCCTGATGTTCTTGTTTCAATTACAGGCTGATCCCACTTACTTGAAGGAAACCACCATTGTCCTACCAGTTCAAATAAATGGCAAAACAAGGGGTACCATTCAGGTCGAGGAAGGATGTTCAGAGGATGAAGCTTTCATGTTAGCTTCACAAGACGTTAAACTCTCCAAGTATCTGAACGGACAATCCATCAAAAAGAGAATATTTGTTCCAGGAAAGATCCTAAATGTCATCTTGGATCGCCAAAATGCCAAGGTGGGTATTCAATAATCCGTATCTGCAGTCCAACACACGAGTCAGTCCGACAATGCATGCCACCAAGAGGAAAGAGACACCATAGCAGCATCCAGATTATTTCTCGTTTTCAAAGGGAGATGGTTGAGCCTTGAACAGATCCCTGGTAACCTCCCTCAAATCAATGTATTTTGAGAAACCAGAAGTTTTTCTATGCATATATAAACATAGAAAATGTATTATATACTGTACCATTGCCAACTAAGTAAACTTAAAAGATATGAGCTTCATCTGACAATATGCTTCACACAGACATTTCACACAACTTCCTAACCAAAAAAAAATATATATATATCTTTAATTAATATTTTATATTAAAATATAAAAAAAGAGTAAAAATCGAGATGATTTGACATTAAAACCATCAAGATATTTATGCTCAAAAAATATTAAGATATTTAATTATAATTATTAAATATTTGTGATATAATGTGAGTTTTAATTTTATTAAATTTATTATGTTGTTCTTATTAGATATTTTGGTATTTTTAATGATAAAAAAATTTGATTTTTCTTATTCCCAAAATATAATAAATTTTCTTTTTATAAAAAATTAATACTACAGTTATACTTTGCACCCAAAAATGGTTTTTGTTTTTGTTTTTTATGTGCATTTCAACATTCTTTCACCTGAATGCGGGACCAACTTATGTTCACATGGTTGCTTTAGTGGTCGGTGACGTATTGATAACGTTGACTATCTTGACTTCGGGTTTACCAACGGCCCGGTCCGGCCCATATATAAGAACGGCGAGAATTGTGTCGGGCGGTTCGACTTCCGTCCGCTTTCATTTCGTTTCTCTTCTAGAACTCTGGACTGAGCCGGAAAATCCCGACGCCAGTTTCCCACGCTTTCTTTCCTTTGATTTTTCCCTCAACCCAAACTATACTTAATCCCCCCTTCAATGGTTTCTTCCGTTTCTCTCCTCCGACGGGAAAAGTTCTGATTTTTACGTTCATTAAATTGTGTTCTGTGATGGTGGGATCGTGATCGGTTGTAGGAAGAAGGATGACGAGGAAAGGCCCAGGACCAATACCAGGGGGCTACGTTCTCTGGTTCGGCTGGAAGTTTGTCATCGTCCTCTCTATGGTGCTTTGCGTCGTTGCTCTCTTCCAGCTCCATTTCCACGACGATATCGCGTCTCCGAACTCTTTATCTTTTGCGGGGACGGGATCTCGAATTTTCGAGGATAACTTCGATGGAAATCCTAAGATCGCCTTCCTCTTCCTCGTCCGTCAGGATCTGCCTCTTGATTTTCTCTGGGGCAACTTCTTTGAGGTAAATGTCCCTTCTTTTGAATGTTTCGCGTAGCTCTATAAATAAATAAATAAATAACAGAAGGAAATTTTTGTATTTTCTCGAGAAAGTTATGAGTTTCAGAATTGGAAGTTCGTTTGAATTTGCAGAATGCCGATATTGGGAGTTTCTCGATTTATATACACTCGGAACCTGGGTTCGTGTTTGATGAGTCGACTTCACGGTCGCATTCCTTTTATGATCGCCAATTGACTAATAGCATTGAGGTGATTACTTTTACAGTAATGTATTTCAATTAATTGTAGGAAATTATAGTTTGGAGTTATGATGTTTGGTTGTCAGTGAAAGCAGAGAACTTTTTTTAAGTTTCAAAGTTGTGCCTTTCTTACATTATATTGGTTGGTGGATGGTAAATGATGGGGAAAATGAGAAACTGGTCATGCTTATTTAAATGCATATGTGATTTTGAATTCATTTCTGGGAATAAAGTTACACCATCCTTTATTATTGCAGGTGGCATGGGGTGAATCAAGCATGATAGAAGCGGAGAGGTTGTTGCTTGGAGCAGCCTTAAAAGACCCAGAAAATCAAAGATTTGTCCTCCTTTCTGACAGGTTTGTATCATTGACTGAAGACTTAGTGTTGCAACCAAAGGAATTTTAGTTTTACTAGGTGGGTTGGCGATTGGGAAGGAAAGGATGAAGAGCCAAATATGTTTTTGAATTCATTTTAATTGATGTTTACCCTTTTCTATATTGCAGTTGCGTCCCCCTTTACAATTTTAGCTATATATACAAATATTTGATGGCATCTCAACGGAGTTTCGTGGACAGGTAGATGGCGAGCTCTTTGATTCTTGAGGTGCCAAGCATTGATTATGCGCAGATAGTTCAGTGCTAATGTTAAACAAAATGATAATGCTTTATGTGTTTTAATTTAAGCTGTTTCTGGTTCTTATTGAAGAAATACCTTGTGTTTGCAGCTTTCTTAATGTAAAGGGTAGCAGATACAGCCCAAAAATGTCACCTGTTATTCAAAAAGACAAGTGGCGAAAGGGATCTCAGGTTATCTATTATCTGCTATTGTTAACATTAAATGAAATATAGAGAAAGTGGAGTGGTAGGGGGTGGAGTGTTAGCTTAATAGAAATTTTGAGCAACTGTTTTATGTTGTTCAAAAATGTATTTAATGAATCACAGAAATTGACTTCTAAGAGAATTTGAAGATGGACATGGACCCTTTGTATCTTTCTAATGGGTTGTATATGTGTTTATTACTGCCAAAATTTAAGCTCAGGTTTGAACTTGACTTGTATTTGCAGTGGATCTCCTTGGTAAGAAGCCATGCACAAGTTGTTGTAGATGATGAGATTGTTTTTCCAGTTTTTAAGAAATTATGCAAGGTACATGATCAACCATTTTATGTCTTTAGTTCCATTAAATCTTAGACACTCATATCTGCCAAGTATCACTATGGAAGGATCACACAACTGCAACAAGCCCCTTAGTATTGAGCATTGCTAAGTAGTGCTATTGTAATGAAATGAAACTTTCTTTTAGTGCTGCTTCCTAATTAAGATATTACTGCTTTGTGAATGGTTATCATATAAATAATAGATAAACTAAACAGAAAAGTTGCTCAGAAATTATCAAATAGTGCCTTTACATTAATTTCCTTCAGAGCAGCCCCTTACCAATTTAAAAAATTTTCTTGTCATATGCACAACTAATTAACTAATTCCATGGAATGGGATTTTATTTTTCTTCTCATGTTGCAGCGACGCCCTCCCGTGGATGCTAGCAAAGGAAAGCTGAATATGGTAAGTGTTCCAAGCCATGATCTATAGTGTATAAGGCAGTCCCCCATAGTTTTACATAATCCAGATATGTTGTTTTGTTTTCTAGTCTATGGACTTCATGCTCTATAATGGGATGCCACCATTATGAAAACAGTAGCTTGATAGCTAAGAGGTTGGCTTCAAGAAGAGAGAGAACTTAGTAAAAAGAAAAAAAAAGGAAAAAAAAAAAAAGGAAGAAGAAGAAGAGAGAGAACAGGGGAACAGAAAGATAACAGAGATACAGTAGTATGATTGCATTAGGAGCTGTATAAGTTTTCTATCCTTTAAAAGTAGCCTAAGAGAAAGATTAAATAAAAGAGTGGCATCTCATAAAAAAAGTAAAATAAAATAGAAGAGTGGCATAGTTTTGATGATCAAGTCCTCTGCTTCTTAGACACTGCTCAAAAGATGGATTTCCAAGAAGGAATTTTTTGGAATGAATTTTTATTTTATCCCACAAATAATACTTGTGCTATTTGTTTTTACTTAGACATAGTGCTTCTGTTCCCTGCAAGTGATTGATATTCCTTTCAATTTGTGCAGAAACTTCAAAAGCAGCACAACTGTATACCAGATGAACATTATGTGCAGACATTGTTTGCAGTTAAGTATAATATCAATACTTGAGCTCCCCTCCCAAGTTTTTTTCCTGAAATTTGCCGCCAATTTGGTGTTATTCTTCTTGGGTTGATTTTGTTGTCTTTGTGATTTTGTGTGGCTGGGACCATGAGTTCTTACCTATAAACCTTTTTGGTTTCTTGATTTTTTCCTTAGATAAATGAGCTTGAAGGTGAACTTGAGAGAAGAACATTGACCTATACCTTGTGGAATCAGTCCGCTATAAAGACACAGAATAATTGGCATCCTGTTACATTTGGCTATGGAGATGCAGACCTTCAACATATCAAGGAAATAAAGGTTATTACTCTGCCTCATCCCTGATGTTACTTGCTTTTCCATCATGCCCTCTTCTTTCTGATAAATTCAGTTTCTCTGCTGCCGATGGTATTATGATCTCTCTAACTCGACCTTCTTTGGATTATTCTTTTTGTTCTTTTCCAGTCCATATTTGGAATGTTTTACCTTCTGTTTATCTTCTTACTCTATGTTTATTGAACAGGCCATCAACCACGTGTACTATGAGACTGAATTCCGGACAGAGTGGTGTCGTACTAATTCTACATTGGTTTCCTGCTTCCTATTTGCAAGGAAGTTCTCTCGCGGAGCTGCCATGCGCCTTTTGGGGGAGGGCGTAGTAGGCCCTTTTGAGTTCTCTGCATTAATGGATTCACATCCGTGATCTACATAACTCTTATACATCTCGTAGCAGTCAACTGACCCCTCTGGATCCAATATGGCTAGCTAGCAGAATGATCGCTAGAGTTTTGCTAATACACCACAACATCGTAGACAGAGTAGATATTCATATTATCACCATACAGAAGTACACTACAACATATAATTACTGCTTAATGAAGAAGGTAGAGTTGGAAGATAAGAAGCGCTGCAAGGATCCGATACCATCATCATTGTTCCGTATGAAGATCTTGCAAGTATCCCTTTCTTATTGGATGGTTGAAATAGTTTGATAGTTACATTCTTCACATGGTAGGAAAAGTAGCCATATTATTACATTTTTCTTTAACGCATGATTAGTCCATAATAACATGGATTATTATTGAACCAAATCTAATTTTCACAAGAAAGATTTCAGCTTCTCACTTGTTTTTCTTTAATTTGTACCTTCTGCTTACAAATTACAAACACAAATGAATTGACCTTGGGCTAAATCTTATGTCTAGCCATTATTTACTCATCTCCGGGCTCAAATTCAAAGACTCGTACATTTTAACATCTCAACCCTATGCTGCAACTTTTATGCGTAGTTGCACATTCCATGAACGCATTTGTTTCCTTTTCCACACTTATTATTGCAGTCTCCACAATGATTGTGGTCTGTCATCGGATTCACACACTGTCCTTTGCAACAAATCTCTGAGTACTTGCACTTCCTTCCACACTTTCCGCAGTTGAGCCTGTCGGTGGCAACTTTCACACACTTCTTCTTGCAGCAATCTGGTCCCGGACTTCCCTTGGCACGACAAACCCTAGGATATTTATTACATGTCATGGCAGCCAAGCGGGTGTTCTGAGCTAGAAAACGGCCTGCCCCTCGGAGAGAGTTTGATACTAGGCCAATGTTTGTGAAAGGAAGATCGAGTGCTGTGTCATTTGCATCCTCTTGATCATGTGATGCCACGGAGAGACTAATGGCCAAGGCCATTATCAAGATCAACATTGCTATGAATATGTTGAGAGATTTCATGTCTTGTGTTGAGGAATGTGGTGGAAAATAAAGAAATGGATGCGGAGATGAAGAAGAATGGAGGCATAGAGGTATATATAGAGAAGACTAATTATTTGCATGGTTTAATCGTTTTAGTGGAGTGGTCTAATTCAACATGAACAAACCACCGAATAGAAACCAAAAGTTAGGCTTATAAAGAAGAATTATTAAACAAAGTTAGGTAAACCATTGGTGGGTAAATCTCCCCTAATGGGCTCCCAAACTTCCTTGATCAAGAACATATATACTTCCTTACACGGGACCTTCGCGTGTTTGGTTAATCCTTTCCCAGGAAAAAATTTCTTGAGGAAGCCAAACCAGCTGAAAAATGTGCTTGGAATTTAAAATCAAGTATGATTGATTATAATGCCTTGTAACCAATTACAAGATCAAGAAATTGCTTCCCATTAAAAAATTTAGAGAAAAAAAAAAAGCCTTTTGAGTTAAGTAACTAAAATATTTCAAAAGAAAATAATTACAAGACAATGTTTATTATGTAACTTTTTATATTATTTTATATAT